TTATTATTATGAGTTTGTAGGAGCTAACCGAATATATAAGTAAGTTAGTTTGTTAAAGTTTATTATACATTGGTTAATGTTTTACAATCTTTATATATAGAACTTCTCATATAATCATATAATATCTTTCTAGTAACATAAAATCATCTTTTATCTTTTTAATATTATTCCTTTAAAGAATTTCTCTCATTTTCAAATTATCAAATATCTTTTTTATAACTAAAAATTATCAAGTTTTAAAAAATAATTTATATATGATTCTATGAATATTAATAAGTGGTGTGGAGATTAGCAGTATGATTTTTTTTATATAGTATTGTTTTTATTAGCGATTTTACCTCGGTATCTCTCTGTCGCGTCTTGTTATTTGTTCAAAAATAATTCAAACAAAATAACTAGAAATAATCACATTATATATACCAAATTATTCTGTAAAAACAAGAAAAATAAATTAAATACAAAATATTATAAGTTTGAGACTCATGTCATCTATGTTGGAAATTCACCTCACACCCTATGAAGAATTCCCCTTCAATCTTGATCTCAAGATTAATGAATAAACCCACAATATGAAGTAATGGTAATAACAAGTAATTATCAAGAACAACAAAAGAGAAGAAGAACAAACAAGAAAGAGAAGAATGAGAGAAGAAGTATTTGGAGAGAATGTGTTACCCACAACTGTGGGATTTCTTATTGAACTTTCACTTGCTAACTGCAACTGTGAAATCTGTTCTGTTGTGATGTAGAATACAAAGCAAGGCACCCTATTTATAGTTTTAGGTTTACACTAGTCCAAAACATAAAAGGCCCAAAATATTCTAAATCAAATCTAATCATATGATATCAAATCTAATCATATGATATCTAATCATATCATATCAAATTAATCATATGATATCAAATCTAATCATATGATATCAAATTAAATCTGTTTACACAATGAATTATATTTAACACACCACCTAATTCATTGTGTCTAAACTGTCTACATTCATCATGGCTCTTAGTCTTCTGAAGGCTTCGACCTGCACTCCCTTCGTCATGATATCTGCAATCTGATTCTCAGATCTGCAGTGTTCCAACTTCATCTTCCCTTCTGCTACCCGCTCTCGGAGATAATGGAACCTCATTTCGATGTGCTTGCTTCGACCATGAGCTATTGGATTCTTTGCCAAGTTGATAGCTGACATGCTGTCTATCTTCATGGTAATTGCTCCATGGTTCTTCCCTGTGATTTCTTCGACCAAGTTCACCATCCAAGTTGCTTGACATGCACAAAGGGAAGCAACTATATATTCTGCTTCGCATGATGATAATGCCACCACTGGTTCCTTTCTCGAATTCCAAGAAACTGGTGCACCACCTAACATAAACACATATCCAGCTGTGGATTTTCGATCCTCAGCATCACTACACCAACTGGAGTCTGTGTATCCCACTAACTTGCATTCTTTTCCTTCACCAGCTGCTGGAAACAAAATGCCATAGTCGAGAGTTCCTTTCAGATACCTCAGTATCCTCTTCGCCGCTGCTAGGTGTGATACCTTTGGTTTTTGCATGAATCTACTTATCATACCAACACTGTATGCTAAGTCAGGCCTTGTGTGGCAAAGGTATCTAAGTGACCCAATAAGTCTTCTGTATTGGGTTGGGTCGACATCATCTTTATCTAAATCCTTCGACAGTTGCAATCTGGGCTCAGCTGGAGTTGAAGTTTGGTTGCAATCTTGCATCTCAAATCTCTTGAGTATCTCGCCTGCATATCTTCTTTGGTGCATCATCAAACCTCTACTTGTCTTGTAGAATTCAATGCCAAGGAAATATGAGAGATTTCCCAAGTATTACATTTCAAACTCCTTACTCAGGTCATGTTTGAAATCTTCGATCTCCTTCTTGGAACTCTCTGTTATCAACAAATCATCAACATAGAGACATAGTATAATCAATTCACCATTGCTTCTTCTTACATATACTCCATGCTCAGTTGTACACTTCACAAATTCCTTCTCCCTTAAGAAGTTGTCAATTTTCTTATTCCAAGCTCTTGGAGCTTGCTTAAGTCCATACAGGGCTTTATGAAGCCTGTACACCTTTCTTTCTTCGCCTTGTTTCACAAACCCAGCTGGTTGTGTAACATAAACTTCTTCTTCTAAAGGGCCATTAAGGAATGCACACTTCACGTCCATCTGACATGTGTGCCAGTTGTTCATATTTGCTAGACCAACAACCAACCTGATTGTTTCGATTCTAGCAACAGGTGCGAATACTTCATCGAAGTCGATTCCTTCCTTCTGAAGAAATCCTTTCGCCACAAGTCTCGCTTTGTGTTGAGTTACTTCTCCTTTAGGATTTACCTTCACCTTGTAAACCCACCTCACATCAATTGCCTTCTTGCCTTGCGGCAATTCGACAAGTGACCAGGTATCATTGACTTTGATGGACTCTAACTCTTCAATCATTGCTTTCACCCACTTCGAATCTTTCAATGCCTCAGCTGCATTGACTGGTTCGACATTTGCGTAGAAAGCATAACGTACCAGCTCACCCTCTTCATCGACTACATCATCTGATGTGATTACACATTCTTGCAACCTTGCAGGCATGTGTCTAGTTCGTCGAGGTCTGCTTGAACCTGCTTCATCTGCAATTGGTTCCTGTCGAACTTCTATTTCGACTTTAGTGGTTGCAGTTGCTAAACACTTGTGCTCCATCACATTGAGTCCAATCTTGAAGGTCCTATTCTGAGACATTGGAGCCTTCAAGATTAGTCTACCACCTGCGTCGAGGACTCTCATCATCTTGTCTTCGACAACTACCTTGTAGTTCTTTTTGACAAGCTGCCCTATACTGAGCAAATTACTCTTCATGCCTGGTATGTACAACACATTGGAAATTGTTGACCTTTTGCCATCTTTCCTCATAATCAGAACATCAACAACACCTTCAGCTGTTAGAGTGTTGTCATTTGCAAACTTCACCATATTCTTCGACGAGGGCTTCATGTTGACAAACCAATCTTTCCTTCCAGTCATGTGTGATGAGCATCCTGAGTCAAAGTACCACTGATCTTGGAATCTTTCTTCATCGTTTGTTGTGACCATTAGCAACGTTTCTTCTTCTTCATGTTTCGCCAACTTTGCATCAGTCTCTTGATTTCTCTTCTTTTCTGGACAATCACTAACATAATGACCATACTTCTAGAAATTGAAACATTGAATGTGGCTTTTGTCTGTCTTTCGATCACCACCTCTTCCTTTACCTGCAGCACCACCTCTTTGGTTGCCTTGGTTCCAAGGTTTCTTTTGATTCGACTGGTTTCCTCCTTTATTGCCATTCCAGCTACCTTTGCCTTTTCTCTCCTTTTCCGTCTGTGCCTGCAAAGCCATACCTTTCGACTTTCCTGCAACTCTCTCAGCCATCCTCTGTTCATGAGACTCAAGAGTCCCTTGAAGCTCTTCCTTCGTCAACACTAACAGATATTTCGACTCTTCTATGGCAACTACCACGTGGTCGAATTTTGGAGCCAACGATCTCAAAATCTTTGAGACAACTGCTTTCGTCGTCAGCGTTTCTCCACATACTTTGATTTGATTTACCAACCTTGTAACTCTAGTGAAGAAATCTGTAATGCTTTCATTGTCTTCCATCTGAAGCAACTCATAGGTTCTCTTGTGAGTTTGTAACCTCACCTCTTTCACCTTCTCTGCGCCTCCAAACGACTTTTCAAGACTCTCCCATGCTTCTTTTGCTGAATCAACATCACTAACCTTTTCAAAGTTATCAGGATCGACACACTGATGAATTATAAAGAGTGCTTTATAATCCTTCTTCTTCAATTCTTTGTGCGCAGCCTTTTCTGCCTCCGTTGCGTTCTCCCCAAGCGATGTTACTCTGTCCTTCACAAGATCCCAAAGATCTTGATAACAGAAAATCACCTTAATCTGCTTGCACCAATTCTCATAATTGTCTTTCTTGAGAATTGGCAGGGTCGCCGGAAAGTTGTCGTTCGGATAGTTCATCGCCATCACTATCTTCCTTCCTTGAATCTCTCAACCGGAACTCTAGATACCAGATGTTGGAAATTCACCTCACACCCTATGAAGAATTCCCCTTCAATCTTAATCTCAAGATTGATGAATAAACCCACAATATGATAGTAATGGTAATAACAAGTAATTATCAAGAACAACAAAAGAGAAGAAGAACAAACAAGAAAGAGAAGAATGAGAGAAGAAGTATTTGGAGAGAATGTGTTACCCACAACTGTGGGATTTCTTATTGAACTTTCACTTGCTAACTGCAACTGTGAAATATGTTCTGTTGTGATGTAGAATACAAAGCAAGGCACCCTATTTATAGTTTTAGGTTTACACTAGCCCAAAACATAAAAGGCCCAAAATATTCTAAATCAAATCTAATCATATGATATCAAATCTAATCATATGATATCTAATCATATCAAATCAAATTAATCATATGATATCAAATCTAATCATATGATATCAAATCTAATCATATGATATCAAATTAAATCTGTTTACACAATGAATTATATTTAACAATCTAATCTATTTTCATATGTATAATATAGAGATAAAGATAGTATGTGTATGAATATGTATGAAATATATCTCCAATCAAAATCTTTAAATGTGTCAAGTTATATTAGTATTTCAAAAATAAAAGTGTGATTTGACAGAATACATATCTATTTCTCATTGGTTGACTGACACTGTAAATGCATATTTCTTTTTCTTTTATAATATTTCAAAATTTACTTTGCATAGTGATCCTTAACCCTAACTATACATCATATTTTACTTTCTTTTCTGCATAAGCCATACGGTTTTTGAATATTTCCCATTCTTCATGACATCTTTCTCTCACCTGATGCAAACCACATTGATATCAATTTCAAGGATACAAAAATTCATCTAAGAAGATCAAAATTGATACATACCCCATTCCATGTTCCACTTTCTGTTTGCCCTTGGTCGTTAAGTGAAAAAAATACTTTTGTGGATAATCCATTGAGCATCAACAACTCCTATTTTATCATGAATTGACTATATCCAATCCAATCCATATTAGATTCATTAGATTCAATATTGGTGAAAATATGCAATGCTTATATAAAATAATAAATACCTATGAAGTAGAGATTCACAGACGGGGAAGTGGATACCACAACGACACGTCGACATTGATAATAATTTTAAAAAATTAAATAAATTAAACTTAAAACAAAAGTTTCATTTTGTTATTGGTGTGTGACCGACACGAACACATACACCTATTTTTTCAGAGATTTCGGTGCTATAGAGAAAAATACAAACCTCCACACATTTTCTGAGAGTAAAATCAAGACCCCATCTATGAACTAGGTCATACTACAAGGCAATATGAATGTAAAATTAGTGAGATTATTATGTGATAAAAAATATCGATATATTTATGACACAAAATATTTATAAAAACCTGTATCATATGCCATACACAACGCCATGCATCTCTAGAAAATACAGGAGCCATGATCTCAACAAATCTGAGAGTTTCAAGTTAGTTCATTATGCATCTCTATAATAATGAATGGTTAATTCAAACGTTAACATGTGTTTTCTTACGCAGCACAAGGTGACACAGGTGGATTAGAACACCAACCATCTTTCTCCTCATCATCTCTATAAAGAATGGATAACAAAAGTTTAATAACTAATATAATTTAATGATGATGTAACAAACTTAAAGATACCTCTGACAAATTCGATGGATTAATCTCTATAATTGCACGCAGAAGATACCCAATTTCTTTTTAAAAAACTTAAATATATTTATTTATACAATATCTAACAAAGCTATACACTTACTTATGAACTTCTACACCGTCCCTTTTTCTTGTCATTTGCCACGTGTAGCTACTACTTTGATCTACACCAGACTGTGAGATCTCCAAACCATGTTTTTTTTACTATTTTTAAGTACCTATAGTACAATACACACATATTAATTTTCATATTTTATTGTAAATATGGGTATGATCTATAAAAAAACAGAAACAGACTCGGACACGATTCTGGCATATCGACATAAAATAAACATAATCCCATGTGTCTATCACGTTGATAGAAAACCTCGAACACGTCTTTTTGTTTAGAAGTGTTGATTTTACAAGGGTTATAAGATTTATACTTACTCCTCTGCATCAAAATTCTCCGGCCCTAGATCCTTGTCCCAAATAAAGATGTAATCATAGGAGGCCACAATGTCAGGACGTAGAAACCGTTTAGCATACCACCTTCAACCAAATTACAACACATTTTATCTCAAAAATACTTGATACAATAAAATACTCAATTAAAAAGTATGTTATTACCAACCATTTAGTTTGCTTGCTAGCACTGATATGAATTGCTCTCTTTGACCACTCAAAAGAAGAAGGGGGTTCAAGGATTTCTCACAAACTTCTCTCCATTTTCAGATTTCATGTTGTTCTAAAGATGTGTGAGTTCATGTTTGTTTGTTAAATGATGTTGTTTTGCTGTAAATTGTTGTGTTATAACCTATATGCATGCTGCTATTTGTGATTAATGCATTAGGAGATCTTTTGGTTGTGTTGGGGTTGTTTATGCTGAGTTTTCTACAAAATTCAAGACTTGGGGCCGATGACGACTGCCGTTAACGAATTGCTGACTGTTACGTCCATGAGCCCCAATGATAGATGCCTTTTCCTGTGATAACCTTCAGAGTTGATTGACGGATCACCCTTGTTAGGCATCACCAGGTGACAATCGTCATGGCCATGACAGCTAGACAGTCACCCTAACATGTCCAACATCATTTTGTGTGTGAAATCTAATTTTTGGAGCAGTTATGTCCCTCCGAAGGTTGAATTTCTTAATCGATGTACAACTATGGTTGGAAATTCTCAACCAATATGTAGCTATGGTTAAGATTATCAATCGATATGTAGCGTCTGAGACTAATAAGAAAATAAAGCGGTATGCTATAAATAAATAATATCAATCAATATATAGTGCCTATACAAAACGGTAACGAGGCGATACGATATGGATATTATCATGATGCCTAATACTAATTGTTAACCTAAGGACTAGGTACGTCCCAAAGTAGGAAGATAGATAAATCTGTAAGACCATACCTTAAGTGTGGCAGCCCTAAAATAGGTAGAGAAATAAATCCAAAAGACCATTTCTTAAGGGTAACGTATTTATGATTCCGACAACCCGAGATCCGTGTGATTAACAATGTGATTTCGCATTCTTTTGCATTGTGTGTTGTTGTCGTACCTCGAAAAATATGATCCTCGTGATGAACACGAACAAAGTTGTTCGAACAGAGTCGCTCCCGAACTTTGAGTTATTCCAATAAAGGAAAAGGAAAATATCGAGAAAACCTTTTAAGGAAAGGAAAATGGTCATCGCGACCTTATTGGGGTTCAGGAGTCGGTTACATAAGGGGAAGGTATTACCACACCCTCTCGTCTGTTGTACTCAACGAGAACCTCTTAGTATAATTAGTTATTTTGAGTATCAACTATGCTTATTTGTCTTCTTCGAATAATAAAAGAGAAAAAGTTTGCAAAAGATCCTATCTAAGATTACTCGTTAAGGAGAGTGGTGATTTTTTTATTGGGTGCTCGCCAAGGATTGGGGTCTTTGTGCCTACATATTCGCTCGTGTAATAGAAAAGTCAGAGCAATCATAGTTCATACTACGGTTTGTGGGTTTGTGTTTTTTATAGACATTAATTACTAGAGCACGAGAAAGATATCTCGCACCCAATTAATTGAAAGAGAAGAGTGAAAGATTTCACTCCCTTCTTACGTCTTTTATTGAAATATTATTAAAGTATAGTTATGTGTTTTAAGTGGACAGTTAGTTGAACACGAGAAAAAATCCCGCATCCAACTAGCCGAGAAGAAATTTTGAAGATTCATAACCCATCCCTTTATTGTAATAAAAAGTGTTTCAATTTTTATTTAAGAAGAATACTCGATGTACGATCGAGGTTTGAATTTGTGTGATGGCGATTGCAAAAGGCAACGACTTATGAGGGAAGAAATCACTTGATGTTGGATCAAGGGTTTGTATTTGGTTGATAGAGATTGCAAAAGGCAACCTTACAGGGTGTTTAAAAAGGGCTCGATTATCGAATCGATAATTAGTTTAAAAAAAGCTTTGGGTGTGTGATGCATATCGTATTTAGTTAAGATACTTTTTTTTTGTATTTTTATAAAGAAGGTTTTAGTTTTAAACAAAATAGAAAGTCTAATCTAATTCTATGACCTAAGATTAAAATAGGAGAGAAAGATCTTAATGTTGTCATGCAAGAGTTCAAAACCTAAGATCTACTCTGATCCAATTTGTCGGAGACAAAGTTGAATCGAGAACCTAAGGGAACATTGCAAATCATACAATCAAGCAACCAATCCTAGACTAAAAGGCATCACAGGCAATTAGTAGGCACAACTTCAAGATTATAGAACAATTTGTCACCCAAGACACATCAAACTATATTCTCAGGCACTTGATCATAACTTGCAATTCTAAGCCAGAAATTTGATCATAAAACATAACTTAATCCTAAGAATAAATCCAAATTTAATCATAGAATCAAAAGTCAAATTATTAACTAGATTTATAATTAAAATCTAACTAACTTAACCTAATATTAAATCAATACCTAAATTCAAAATCAAAATTAATTAAATTAAAGAAAATAACTAAAAGAGAAAAACTAATGGAATGTAAATTGGCATATGGGGGTGGTTTTTCTTCAAAAAACAATGATCATGGGCTTATAACAAAGGAAAGTTCGTTCCTCACCATCAAAAGAAAAAAAAAAAAAAAAAGAGGAAGTTTTACCTCATACCCCTACACTTGTACCTATACCCCTATATTAAAAAATTTTGGACCAAAATATCCTCGTATAAAAATTTATTATTTTTTAATTTTTTTATATTTTTTTATTTGTTTACCGGAAGACTTTTTGGAAGTCTTCCGATTCACATTTTTTTTCGTATGTTTACCGGAAGACTTTTTGGAAGTCTTCCGGTTCATATTTTTTCGTTTGTTTATCGGAAGACTTTTTTGGAAGTCTTCCGGTTCATATTTTTTTTTAATTTGTAATTAATATTTAAGATTTATTAACTTTATATAAAGACCAATTTAGTGAATTTTTGAATATTATACTTAAAATATAAAAATTCTATAAATAGAGAATTATTTTCAGAATATTTTCTATTTGCTATAATTATTAGAATACAATGAGATTAAAATCATTTATTTTAAATGATCATAATAGTAAAATTTTCTCAAATATCTTATTAATCTTAAACATTAATAAATAAAATAAATTTAAATATAGGATATAAGTTTACATTATTCAATATATTTAATCAAATGAAAACATATGTGATAAATAAATAATGTATTTTAACTTAAAATGATCACAATAAGTTAACTTGCAAAATAATATAAGTAATAAATTAATAATGTATTTTATTTAAAATAATCACAATAATAGAATACGCAAATAATATGTTTTATTTATAGGACTGATATAGTTTTATTGATTATTTAATTTTAAATACTACTATGAATATAGTATTTAATCTATACTTTAGAACTCACATAATTATAAATATAAAAAATATTGTTTTATTACCCATATTTTTATTTAATTAAAAAAAATAAGAATATAAATTTATTATTTATTTTTCATTTTCGTTTGATCTTTTTTTTATTTATAAATTTTTTGCATATTCTATAATGTGCTTACTTTAAATAAAATATATTATTTATTTTATTAAAAATATTAAATAAAGTGAAATAATTAAAAAGATCAAACAAAAATGAAAAACAAATAATAAATTTATATTCTTATTTTTTTTAATTAAATAAAAATATGGGTAATAAAATAATATTTTTTATATTTATAATTATGTGAGTTCTAAAGTATAGATTAAATACTATATTCATAGTAGTATTCAAAATTAAATAATCAATAAAACTATATCAGTCCTATAAATAAAACACATTATTTGCGTATTTTATTATTGTGATTATTTTAAATAAAATATATTATTAATTTATTACTTATATTATTTTGCAAGTTAACTTATTGTGATCATTTTAAGTTAAAATACATTATTTATTTATCACATATGTTTTCATTTGATTAAATATATTGAATAATGTAAACTTATATCTTATATTTAAATTTATTTTATTTATTAATGTTTAAGATTAATAAGATATTTGAGAAAATTCTACTATTATGATCATTTAAAATAAATGATTTTAATCCTAGTATTTTAATAATTACAGTAAATAGAAAATATTCTGAAAATGATTCTCTATTTATAGAATTTTTATATTTTAAGTATAATATTCAAAAATTTACTAAATTGGTCTTTATATAAAATTAATAAATCTTAAATATTAATTACAAATTAAAAAAAAAAACATGAACCGGAAGACTTCCAAAAAGTCTTCCGGTAAACAAACAAAAAAAATATGTACCGGAAGACTTCCAAAAAGTCTTCTGGTAAACATACTAAAAAATGTGAACCGGAAGACTTTTACTTCCAAAAAGTCTTCCGGTAAACAAATAAAAAAATATAAAAAAAATTAAAAAATAATAAATTTTTATACGAGGATATTTTGGTCCAAAATTTTTTAATGTAAGGGTATAGGTATAAGTGTAGGGATATGGGGTAAAACTTCCCAAAAAAAGATGGTGGAAATAACATTGGGCCAATGCACTTTTAAGCCCATCTGATCCACAACAACAATAAAATGAGTTTTCAAAGAGAAAAAAAAAAGAAATAAAGAAAAGTTCAGCATCACATTCAACCCTCTTTATCTCTCTCGCTCAACT